TACAAGTTTCACTTTTTAAATGGAATTACTGAAATAAATCTACTTTTTCATGATATTCTAATTTTATGACCAGCACCTGTATGTGTTTTTTGAGCTTGTTGCTTTTGCACAATTGTAATGGCATTTCCAAAGCAATTTCAGCATTTCACCCAGTTGACCTGTGACCCAGAAGATCTAGGTTTCACTATGCACATTTGTGATAACTTTCTAACTTCAAAATGGTCTATTGACTCCACTGAGCAAGACTTATGTTTTTGTTAAACCAGAAACATATTTGTTCATGCTTTTCTGCATTTGTATAGGCAATCATTTCTGTACTCATGTTCACACAGCTCACCTGAACCACAGTGTTCCAATCATGAGTCTTCAGTTTTCACTGCAGCCATGATGTGCTGAATTCACCTGCCTATTCACAAGACAAGAAGCACAAACAAAGTGTGTCTTTGTAGTCCCTTATCCAAATGTTGGTAGAAGCAGGTTTCTTAACTCTGTATTTGGACAAAACAAGTTTGTTTTACTTCTGCTTGTGATTTGACCTGCAGTCTTTTTTTTGTCTGTTGTGTCTTTGGCACCACCATTTTAGATAAAAGACACTTGTACTACATCACAGACAGTCAACATTTCTTCATATCTAGTCTGTACATGCTCATCTGCTTCAGGGGCTGGCAGAAAGACAAATAACATGTTTACATCACACAAAAGGCATGAACAAACACGTTTTTGTGTGGTTCTGTGTGATGTGTTTAACTTCGAATGGTCCTGCACTCCAAACTTAAAACATTAATGACCATGATCAATCTTGTCTGAGTGCTGGGAAAGTGCTGACTGCTGCTTGCAAAGTAAACCGCCTAAAATGAGCTCTTAAATCTATGAAGACCAAGGATTAAGCTCCTCACGTCAGGCTGCAACACGTATGCTTGTCTGCTAAGAAATGTAGGCCATGAGAAGAAATAAAGCAAGCATATAAATGACTGTGCAGCTCATACTCTGTAGTTTCATCTGCTATCTCACACACCCACACAGAGGTGCAGTTTATACTGTTCTTCTTTCACCTTCAGTCTTCCTTTGTTTAGAAAACTGGCCCAGTTTAGTCAAAGTTTATTTTGGAGCTGCTTTTTGCTGTCTGTATTAACTGACTTGTATTAACTGCAAAATCTAGCAACTATAAACTGTGTGCTTCAGTAAACATAGAGTTGTATAGCACTAGTCTCTTACTGAAGATGTTGGCTCTGTTCTTTTTAATAAAAGGAGCTGATAGGTTGTATGTCAGATTGTTCATTTTAAAGCTATAAGTATGTTTTAAATGTAATCAAATAAGGTGAAAAAGACAGCACAAGGTTCTTTTTTTTCTAATGCTCTAAAATGTTTATATATTTCCATTTTACTGTGACATCAGAATGTACTGTCAGCTAAAACAAAAAGCAGTTTTATAAAAACACAATAACTGAAACTTTGTTTTATCCTACATTTTTAACTGTGGCAAGTTATAATAAAGAGTTAATTTAAAAGTTGTTTTTTGCCATTTGTACACACACTTGACCTTGAGCTTCGAATCAAGAGAAAACAACAATAATAAAGAATAAATAACAAAGTTCACTAGTTAGTAGATTTTAGTGGTTTATTACTTCAGAATTTAGCTACAGTTTTTTAAAGTTCTGTTTGTAGCTGTACTGTATTAACTCTGACAGTGTTGAAGTGGTTCTGCTTGCTTTCTGGCTGCTATCGTCTTGACTTGTTTTTGTCTGTTTGAACGCAGGTGTTTCCTCTGCTGCCTTGTTACACTCAAAGTCCCTCCGTGGCCACAGAGACTGCTTTGAGAAATGTCACCTCATTGCCAACCAGAAGCTGTCCCATTCCAAGGTCTCTCGAAGTGCCTATGAGGGCATGAAGCTGGCCCTCAGCCAGAAACTGAACCGTATCATCCAGTTTGCCCAGAACAAAGACTCTGTCTCCTCCAACGGCTGCCCCAGACGAGGGCCAAAGCTTCTTTGTTACAGCCAGCAGAGTGACCGCAAGCTGCTGCCACAGACTGATGCCCAGGTGCCCCGCTATGCCCCCTGCTGGGACAGGGGCAAAGCAACGGGGCTGCCTGAATATACAATGAGGATGCTGGAAAGTCAGACAGCAGAGGAGGTGGAGCTGCTTGAGGCGTCGCAGTCTGATGCTTGGACCAGCGACGGCAGGAGAGGCTTGCACAGCTGGAAACAGTCATCAGGAGGGCAGACACCGCTCAGACACCAGGGGCACACCAGTGATGAATGTAGGCAGATTACTACACATTACTCATTACATATCTGTAGTGGAAGTGAAGGGTTTTCCTTTTAGGCTTTTTTCTGATTTCTATAAAGGAAAATAAAGTAAAACAACAGAAATGAAAAGTGTCTCATAGATCTTACCTGGTTCTGTTATCTCCAAACAATAAAACCCTGTTGTCTTTCATCGGCATCTTTTTTCCCTACGTCACTGAGGAGTACATTTTCTTCTAACCTGAAGAGAGACTCTTGTATTTTGCCTCATTTCCACTAAAACAGCTTTATGACGGCTTTTGCAGTGGCCCCATAAATGATGTGCTTTTAAAATGTAAAATACACAGTTTGAAGACACACACCATTTACCATCATTTTATATGTGTATTAGGGTTGGGCCAGTGAAATGTGTCATCCATCACCAGGTTCAGCTCTGTGCTAATGATGCCTCACTCTCATTCATTCCACATAAAGAAGTACAAATGGGCAGACAGGAATAGCAAATAGCTTTTTGTGTGTTTTAGTCACATTATTTTGTATTATGCTAATAGCTGAGAGCTTCTTACTCTAAATAAAAATGTTTTCTCTTTCAGTGGGTAAAATGAGTGTGGATGAGCTCCATCAGCTGAACAGCCAGCTACTGAAGCAGATTCAGAGTAAGTTTGTTCTTTAATGCCATTTTGATTAAACAAATCCTGTCATAGAAATTTCAGAAGTTTTTAAGCAAACTATTTATTGTTTCTCTTTTAAATCCCCTGATGAGACTTTGTGTGCTGTCAATAAAAACGGTCCAGTGTTTCCCTAATTTTCACCTTAGTTTCTGTTAAAACTTCAGTTCTTATTCTCATTCATCTTCTTACATCTATTTTTAACAAACATTAACTGGTAAAAGGTTGGAACAGCGTTGTAGGGAGTGTGCGGCTATATCCATTGGTCATAAGTTGGGGTATTTACAAAAAATTGATGTCATGGGCACTTTAAAGGTTAGGCCAAAACATGATTTTATTTTAAACAAATGAAGTCAGCCGATGAATTGAATTATGAGTACCAAACAGTTTGCTATAAGGCTATAAGGATAGAGTCTTTGAGGAGGAAAAATGAGCAAAATTTAGCAACAAATGTATGAGAAAAATAATCACGTTTAAAAACTTTCTTACAGTTTTTTTTGAAAGTGGTCAGAATATTTGTCTTTCAGTAGTGCAAATAATCAAAAAACTGAAGGTGTTTGAGGACATTTTGGTGTGAAGACAAGGATATGAGCTTCAGTACTGAATTCTATTTGACCCTGATGTCAAACTTTAAATCTGTTTCATTGCCACGCTGGAAGGCCGGCAGGATTCACTCATTGTTGTGATTAGTGTTTCAGTAAGARAAGTTGGTATAAATATCACCTTGTTTTACTCCTCCATTTTGTTTTTCCTATAAGAAACTCAGAAACCTAAACTTCTCAGTTCAGATGGAAAGTTTTTTTTAGCCACTTCAGTAGAAAACAGAACTGAATATTAGTTTCTTCATCATCACTGACTTTTTTACTATAATAAAGAAGAAAAAGGAATAAAGGAGAAATGTAATGAGAAAGGTTGAAAGAGAGATTGGAAGATATGTGAAATATACACCAAGAACACACAAGACAACACATCCGACATCTGTGTGCACACCTGTAAAAATGGGGAAAACAAAAACACAGCAACAAAATACATATGTATATAATAATAATTATTATAACCTTGCTGAAAAATATACATGCATATATACCCATATACTCATACTTACATATATAGATATATATGCATATAAATATATACACATACATTCATTTAGTGACCGATCAGAAACCCCAGGAGCTCAGATGCAAATTGGACATCCAGAAAATCTCCTCTCTCAAACACTGAGTCAAGAACATCTGTTGATAAAACCACATGAGCTGGGCTTTTTATCTTTAAAAATGATACAGTTTTGGATTGGTGCTGTTGGAAATGCCCATCCCTTTTTGTGAAGGCAACGTTAATGCAGAGGAGTACTTTCTGCACCGAGGTCTTTACCAGAGACAGTTCATGCATTTTTCAACAAGGAAACCACATTCAGCTCACATTACAAAGACATGGCTGAAAAAGAAGAGGGGACTGTCTTAATCTAACCCCAACAGAGACTGTGTGTGGAATACTGAGACATAAACTATGACAACAGGGATGACCTCATTGATGCATACAAAACCTAAATAATTTAATTATATCTGCACACGTTGCTAGTAAAATATCACTGAACTCAAATACTTATTCATGTTCATCTACAACAGATTAAGTTTTAGAATCAGCATAATTCAAGATCACAATCAACTGATTTTAGAAAACACAAAAATGTCTGTAACTCATCCAGTTTTACAGAAATTGTGTTAAAATTTCGATGTGGTAGTAGCTCAGAAACACCCAACTTCTACTCTAAGAGCTTAGGACATCTTGTAGGATTTCACTTGGGATCTTGCGTGTTATTTGCAAGGTTTGAGCTACAACACCTATAACTTTAATTTCTCATCAAAAATTAATCATGTTAAAATCCTAGCATGGATAATAAGAAGAGCAACAAGTTATTTAAATCCAACTGGTGCAATGAGTTGCTTCTCATTTCTTAAACCATGTTTAAAGACATCCTGTGGTCGTGGAAAAGACGTCAGTCTGTTTGAGAAGGGTCAAATCATTGGGATCAAGCAGAGAAAACATCTAAGGAGATTACAGAAACTATTAAAACTGGGTTAAGAACTGTTCAACACATTATTAAAAACTGGAAGGATAGTGGACCCATTGTGTTGGAGGATGCACCATCATAGTGTCTACTGTACAGCCTGTGGGGGCGGAGCTATGATCTGAGGTTGCTGCAGTTGGTCAGGTCTATGAAGCTTATCCAAACAATGCCACAGAGAATGTGAGCTGTAATCAAAGCTAAAGAAATATTTTTTTTTGGTGGTGACTTGTTTTGGCCAGGCTGTGTATTTCAATTTTTTAAAATATTTTCATCTTTAATTGTTTCTCATAGAAGTGAACCTATCACTTTTGTATCTGCTTGCTCACTACTACAGGACGAAAAGTATTTTTCTTCTTTGTGTTGTTTTTTTTGTTTGTAACCTGACCTTGTGGCAGAACAGAGTTGATACCTATTTTCCGCTGATCTTTTGTCCCCACAGAGGTCTTTGAGGAGCTGACGGCCGTCGTGCAGGAGAAGGATGCCTTGGCGTCTGAGCTGCACGTGCGCCACGTTGCCATCGAGCAGCTCTTTAAGAACTGTGCCAAATTGCCRTGGTTGCACATCAGCAGGGCGGGGGTGAAGGCCAGCAGCAGCAGCGGCGGCAGTGGTGGTGGTGCTGTGGAATAAATACGATGCTGGAAGACAGCAGCAGGTTGCAAGACAGACTTTCTGAATCTGCTGCTGGGACAAAGTTGAATCCTTCAGCTTACAGAATGCAGCTAGACCAAAAAAAGACCTGGATAGTGACTGACTCTTACAACACTATGATGACATTGGGTTGTTAATTCTGTATTAGCACAGCATTAAGGGCTTTGGTTGACCCACTCTGTTTTCATGGTGGCAGTGGTGATGTAAGGATTTATGGTGGACTGCAAATGAATTGCTGGTCTGGCACGTGGCCTGAATTCCACCCAACCCAAGTACCCAGGATGTGACTTAATTAAAGGTGGCACAGAGAATCCTGGTCTTGAAACTGGATGAGGATCTGTGCCTTGTGGACAAGGGAGGAAAAAAAATGCTTGCAGATTTTCATTTAAAATCTACTTTTCATTTCTTTTTTATTCTTTGAAATTATGTTTTTATTGTTTTATTTCTTTAGATACATTTCTACTTTGATGTTTTTGTATTAGGTTGTAGAGTAAAATGAGCTTTAGAATTGGTAACTGCTCTTCATTATGTTGTCAGATCATTTGTGAGGAGCGGTGTTCTATGCTGCTGCAAACTGAACCAAATGTCTCATGTTTGGAGGATTCTGTTGAAGTTTGCTGTTCATCTCCAACAGTGTCGGTCATTGAAATGTCCTGGAGCTGCTCAGATTGGACCTGGTAGTTTATGAAAACTGATCCTCTGAAATGTTTAGGATTTTCTAAATCAAAGTGATACAGCGTTTAGCTACAGCTACTGAAAAATATGCAAACAATTCTAATGAAAGTGTAATTTTATTAGAGATATTTTAAATGGCACAAATGGGTTTAATCTGAAAGAGAGAAAAAAATAATGCTCAAAACTGATTGAGTTCCTTTAACGTGCATTCTAGAAGAACAAAATGCTAGTTGTATGTTGTTTTGTTTTAATAACGAGAGTACTCAGAAGATAGTTTATAAGCAGCAAATGGAAACACTTGTGTGGCTTAAAGAGAAAGGTTTTAGTTTAGCTTAGATTTTATGTTTGTAACTGTTTCTGCTTGGATTTACTTGATATTCAGTATAAAACTGTTCGTCATGTAGCCGTCAAGCACAAGTCTTCAGGATCCCATTGGGCTGTGACCGTTGGAGGCTCGCTGCCAACTCTGAATTACTAGAAAACTGACATTTTCTTGTTGCAGTCTCACTGATGACTGAGTTTGCGATCAAACGACTAGCGAGTCATCTGACCTCATTTTGAGCTGCAAGTTTTAGAAAATCACAGCTTAGTTTCATGTACACGGCTAAGCTAAGCTGTATTAGTGGCTCTGCGCATTATTCTAACTTTATACCCAACTTGGTAGCCACACACATGTTTATAAATGAATCTGCTGGAGTGCGCTTTGGAAGTGAAGGTGGGCTGATTTGGACCAACGCTTCAATAATTATTCATAATCATTGTGTTTTCTAGACTTGGATGTTTTGATTGTTTTATTTTGTCAGAAGAGAGTTCTGGTACAGGTGTCAGAAAGCAGCTGTAGCTCTCTTCAGATGGGTTGGAGATGACTCCAACAAAATCACGACAGGTTTTAATAAACCTGAGACAATTCTGCCATGCTTTTGAGAGAAAGTCAGTCGTGCAAACATTGAAATATATTCCCAATTTAAGCGATAACATTGTGAACCCATGCAACCCGAAGGAGGAATTTTTCAAGACAGTTCGAAACTTCCTTGCAAATATTGTATACAAACTTGTCACCAACAGTCGCAGTCCACTGAGATACTACACTCGTGGATGGCTTTTCACTAAATGAGCCCTGTCAGAAGAGGAAAACCTGAACTACTGAAAATGAAATTATGCTGCCAAACCAAAGTGTATTTCTCTATTTTCAACGTGAACCACAAACAAGCATTTGACAGCAACAGATGATGATGATGCAATACCAAACTGATTTTAAAATCTACAAAACAGATTTTGCTCTGAGGGTTACTGCAGAAATGACTTGTTTTGGAGTGTCGAGAGCAATCTGAACAGGGCAGATTGGTCTTCTGTGCCTATGGATGTCTAACCTTTGAGTAAAGGTAAACAAAGACAGAAGTTTGGACCCTATGCAAGACAGACTAAAAATCAGAAGCCTTATTGAGTGAGAATCTTTGCTATCTGACCGTTCCTCTGAGGAGATCACAGAACCAGAGTTTTGTAAGCTTCATCTAGGAAAACAAGGTTAGAGTAGTTTGTTTAGATAAACTCAGCATTGTCCGTGTATTTGCTCTCTTTGTAAGAGATTACACATGTTTGACCCGTTTAGGGTCTTAAAAACAATTTAGCTTCATAGCATTGTTTTATTTGGATAAATGTATTCAGTATGCCTGAGTGTTTGTGGATATTTTCAATATTTGTCCTTTATTGCAGATTTTTAAATCATTTAATCCTTGTTCATTTAGTTTGCATTCTTTTATTTTTCTCATTGAATGTGGTGTTTTGAATGCTGTTAAAACATGCCTGAACCTGTCTCTGCTCAGCAGGAAAATCAGGCTCTGTGTTGGATCATATTTGTGCTCTTGTTTTCATTTTACCAAAAAACAGAAGCATATCTGTTACACTCATGTCCATTCTGGCCTCATTGTTCTTTTTTTTTTTTTATCAATGCTGCATTTGTGTTGTTTGATGTTTCACATTCTATTTATTGGGTGTGTAATGGACCTTATAATGTTTGTGCTTGAGTTTCTTTTTTGTTTTGCTTTTTAATAAAATGAAATGACATTACCAGCATGTTCTGGCATGTGTTTGATTGACTTAGATGGCATTTAGAAAAAAAAGCATAGCTTACAAAAACTAATTTCTCTTAACTTTATTTTAAATTTGAGGTACAGTTTCTTTTTAACCACAAATATATGGTATACCATTTCTGTATTTTTTTTCTTTTTTCTTTTTATAGTCTGTCTGGATATGTTGCATGGGATTGAGCATTACTGAGCTCCTATTAAACAAAAGCAAAAGTATGGAGTAATGTTTTATGTTTGAAGAGAAGCCTGAATATTTAGAGTTTAGAAGCTGAATGAAGAGAATAACCATAGTCTGGTCGTTTAAAATAAATTGTATATCTGTTCTGATGACACATGCTGGTCTGAGTGGACACATCAATATCCTTAGTGATGTAYTTATTACGCAACTGCATTTAGCTGTAAGTGATGAGCAGACGCATGGCACCACCTTGTGGTCAAAATTAGTAAGTTAAAAATATTATTTTAATACCAGACCATTACTTCGCGCGATTAGAATGTGCTTTTCTAATTAATATTATGGTTTCTGTTAATCAGGGTCGAGTACTTTAATTTTTTATCGTGATATTATACCCATATATATACAATGCTGAAACAAAGGACGACTGACAAAATGAGTCACAACAACAGCGAGTGACTCATTTCCTGGCATTCTGCTTGACCAATGAGTGCGCTCCTAACATCTTTTTAACCAACCAAAAAAGAGAAAAGGCGGGGCTTATGTTGAAATGGGTGGAGCTATTGTTGGGTTCTTCTGTTGCCAACTTCTTCATCCATCCATTTAGTTGTAGTCCACATTGTGAGCGAAGTCGTATTGAAAGGTAAATTGCTCTAGGTTTACATTTTCCAATCTTATCTTAATCTATTATGGAATATTTTATGTTTTTGTTTTACGTGGATTTAACCACATCTTGTGGTATTTTCAAGCGATGCGTTTTTATTTTAGAGCTGTAGTGTTTTAGCATCAACATGAGGCTGTTGTTGTTAGCTTTACGCAGCACGTAACGGTTTCGTCTGTGTTAAAACCTTATAGCATTATCGTTCGGGAGTATATTTATTTTTATTTGTTCATCATTGAATTAGGGTTCCTGCGAAAGCTATCGTGTTAAGTCTGATTTTTCGAATACATTTTTTCGAGCCATCCAGTGTTTGTGTTAGCCTGGGAAGCTAGCTAGTTAGCGGAAAAAGAGTTAGCCTTGTTGTGGAGTGTGGCGCTACGTGATGAAACTGAACCAGTGCGTCATCGCCCGCCTTTCTGAACCAGACCGTTAACTGAAGGCTTACATTATTAATTCAAAACCAGTCTTTACGCCACAAAATCACGCTTTTATTGATTATTCAGTTATTCTTTTCAGGATAATAGAAGAGAAGGGAGTATGTTACGAAAGGATGTTTCTTCAGATTTTGTCTTATTAAATTACAGGCAATAATTTAAAGTGCATATTTTTTTTATTTATCAATCAATCAATCAATCTTTATTTATAAAGCGCTATAACATCAGTCACTGCTGAAACAAAGTGCTGAACACATAAAATAAAAACTGAATACAAAAACATTTACACTTATTAAAACAAGTGTTGCCCATAAAATAAAAGTGAAAACATGGGTAAGTAAAACAAACAAACAAAAAATAGCAGAACAATAAAAGAACATTCACTTAATCCAATGATGTATTATTTTAAAGATGTTCTCAGTTTATTTTTTCTCCTCCTTGCAGAAGCTTCTCATTCGTAATGAAACACGTGAAATAATGAGGAGGGAGATAGCAGCAGTGGTTTTCTTTCTGAAGAGGCTTGTGAAAAAGGGGGAGAAGTTGGAATCTCACAAGATTGAGCTGTTTGTGGAGCGCCTGGCTGTTGCCCTGCAGGAGAAGTTCAAGGGACACTGGTATCCTGAAAACCCCAGCAAAGGGCAGGCATACAGGTCTTTGTCTTTTCTCACAGAACTGATTTGAGAGTAAATACATAAACCTGATGTTTAAGGGATCTGAAGTTTTAATTTGTAATTAACTTCACAGGTGCATTCGAGTGAACAGGTTGCACAGGCAGGATCCAGAGCTCCTACGAGCCAGCCGGGAGAGCGGGGTGAAGTATGGTGACCTGGGACTGCCCCGTGAACTCACATTGTGGGTGGACCCTGGAGAGGTTTGTTGCAGGTGAGACTTGATATTTTTTCCCCTTACAGCAGTGGGAGAAAATGTGTTTGTGTGTGTTTGTTTATCTATAGCCGTATCTCATGGACGAGAGGAAACATTAATTAATCATGTAACTTTTGAAGTAAACCCAGTTTTAAATGGTCACCACATCTAAATGGGTACAAATTCAGGTTTTAAGGTGCTGAGCTGAAATTTGGTGTGGTGGAGTTGAGCCTGACTGTTAGCAAAATAGTTTGTGGTCTTTAAAAAATTCTGCCTTTCTCATCTATTCTACCAGGTATGGAGAGCAGAGTCCTTGTTTCTCAGTTGCCACTTTCAGTGGTGATGAAGAAGATGACAAAGACGTTGCAAAGAAGGTGACCAGTGCTCTGGAGAGGGTGACATCTGACTATCACTCCGGCTCTTCTTCTGATGAGGATAGCACACACACATCCCCCCTCACAGTCCCCAGACGATGGGCTCATCAGGTAGTGTGTGATGTAATTCAGTGTACTGATCGAAGGGTTGTCATCTTGTTGTTTCTGAGACTATTTAAAAAGAAAACCAAATAAACTGATTATCTATAATATGACAGAGTGCGCCATTATCCTTTAACTGTAAACTACTTCTGAAATGACACAGTGCTTACTTTCAAATTTTCTTTTTAAAAATCGGCTAAAATGTTATTTCATAAATGTTCATAGATATTTTCTATTTAACAAGTAACCCACATCATTGATTACTTTGACAGTTTCATAAATTGAAAGTGACGTGATCTGCTAGAGCTCAGATTATGTTTTGAATGATTCGTATCCATTAGCTCACTAAAGTTTTGTACTAGATCTTTAAAATTAGAGTTGAAACCCTTTTTGTTCTGATGGGTCAATATATTGAAATGGTTATGCTAACAAGACAGAAAAAATGAATACAAAGACAAAGTCGTAAACATTGCCTTCAGCATCGGGCGATAAATATGTTGTAATAAATTAATTGATGCTAAATTTGTGCAGGTTAGAAACACCATAGCTGTTTGTCAAATCAGCATAGAGCCCTCCTTATCAACATTTTTTATTTATTTAAAAWTTTTAAAATCTTTGTGGATTCAAACTGAGTGATCCCTAATTTACACTAAAAGTGTTTCCACTCCGCTGTGCTTCACAGTTTACTGTCATTTGTTTGTCTGAGTACAGGCTAGGGCTGCTACGATTAATTGATTAATCGACAACTAATCGATTATTAAAATAATCGATGACTAATTTAATAATCGATTAATCGTTTTCTTTTTTTCTTTGTTGTTCTTTACTTTGTTTTTCTCTCCAAACTGCTTTGATACCTTCCACTGTCACATCTGCCTTTCTGTCCTTGACACACATGTACAGTAGTGGTAACTGGGGTAGGCCGTGGACGTCACAAGTAGGGCTGCACCAATTAGTTGAAATAATRGATGACGTCGATTATGTAAATTTGTCGACGCAGATTTTTTATTATCAATACGCTGTATTACATAACCACCACGTGAATGTTCATGCAATTCCATTTCGGTACCTAAATGCATCATTATTGGCATAAGAGTGGTGAGTTTTTCATGCTTGTCCTGAATGCAGCATCACGCAAGAGCTTAATGACGTCAGCAGCCGCTGCTTCAGTTCAGTCTGAAGCTTGAAAACAAGCCTCGTAGCTCCTGGAGTAAAATTTACCGAACAGACCGCCTCTGAATTATCTGGTGGATTAATTATCTTGTGAGCACGACGTTCGCTTGCTCAAAGTAAATAAAGTATCGCCACTTTCTTTATTTCATCCACCATTAAACAGAGAGTGGTGTTAGGTCGAGCCACGTTCCCCCATCAGACGGTTCCCCCAGCGTCTCAAACAACAGAGGAYCTTCCCGACACACGTCTGACCTAAAGAGCACAAGCAGCCAACAAGTGTTGGACGTGTTCTGGATGTTCAAAARGTAGCTTAAATACCTTTTATTTAGTTTAACTGCATCCTCTTTTGTTTATTTGATTTAAACTTATTTTCCTTCCATGGACCTCCATCACACATTTTTCTAGTGGGGAAATGACATCAATAGAAATATGTGGAACTGGATTTTAATTTGTGTAATAAGACAAAACAGTCTTGTTGTTTTCAACAGTTTTCACCTTAAAGAAAAAAGTTACACAACTGATGTTACAATACAAAGAGTTGGATGTTGTCTTGATATTTGTTAAATTTTATATATTGAGAAATATGTTAAATAAAAAATGATGGATAAATGTTTATTATAGTATTTCCAGAGTGACTTGAATTTTGCATGATTTAGTTCATTTGTTAGATTAACATCCTGCACTATATTTCTTTTGCTTGAATTTTATATGCTTTGGTTGAGATTTTATGTTGATGTTAAATCTTTTAAGCTATTTTTGTTAAAGAATTGACTCTAGAGTGCATATTTTGTGTTTATGAAACAACTATTAAAGAAAATATTACAATATTAAAGAACTGTTCTTGTTAATTTGATGAAAACATTTTAAATTTCCAGTGCACTCACATCAGAATAACTTATAGATTTGTTGTTAGAATAATCGATTAATCGAAAAAATAATCGTTAGATTACTCTAATAGAAAAGAATCGTTTGGTACAACACTAATACAGGCGTATAGAATAAAAATACATTGTGTGTAATCCTGTTTTTGTGTTAGGATTAGAAATAATATCTGTAGTTTTGACTTTTTTATCCCCCTTTGYGCACACTTTTTTAACTTATTCATCTTTTCTCTTTAAGGTCATGAATCCAGCAGCTCCTTCATGGCAGCCCAAAAAAATGGGACCAGCCAAAGGCGTGGGCCTCCCTCGGCCCCTCTATGGCTACAGGCCTCGCAGCAGCAGAGCCCCCCATTCCCTGGGACAAAACCTTTGGATCCCTCCAGTTTATGGCAGGACCCCTGAATACTGGGACACAAACCAAAATCTGGCACATTGTTACAGTTAGGACCGTTGGTGCTTGTTGTTCACACTGGACATTAAAACCTGAAGAAAACTTTAACGACTGACTAATAACTTTTTACATAAATTTTTATAACTTAAATATTGTTTTTGATAAAGTCTTTTTGCACTTTAGACATTTTTTTGTTCTAGATGAAATAGATCACTTGTATTAAATTAGGAAGTGGAATTAGAATACTACACTTGTAATTTTGAAGTACTGTATTTTTTAATTACAGGAGACATTCATGTACACCACCCGATGTCCTTTGTGATGAAATGTTTTATTTATTCAGAGAAAGTTTTCCAAATGTATAGGCTTAAAGTTATGACGTTTTATTAAACATTTCCAAGCATCACTATATATTATTTGTTGTTATTTTGAATTCCATTTGGGCTACATCAGATGTAGCGATACAAATAGTACATTTAATTTTTTTTGCAGAAATTTGAAAATCAACGTCTGTTTCTATAAGTAGGAAAGTAGAATGGATTTTTTTTTGGATGAGTGCACCTCTTCAAGATGTGAACACTAGCTTTAATACTTGTCTACATTACAATAACAACTCTGAAAAAGATGTTAAGTTTTACTGACCCAGTTGGGTAATAAAGGGTAATTAATATGAACCTTTACAATCCCAAATGAAGGTTATAATGGCAGAGCTAATTTTAGCACTAATCTTGTTAGACTTGGCTATTCTTCAAAGAGAGTAACAAGCAGTTTATTAACATGATCAATAATTGAATGATAAAAACAACTGGGCCTGTCTGGTATTTAGTCAAAGTCATCACATCTGTAAGGTTATCTCACAAGGCAATCCAATTAGGCTGAATTGAAATGAGTGAAAATATACATGGTGAGTCAAAAATGACAGGACACCCTTTTGAAAAGAAAATGGAAAATGACACCTGAATACACCAGTAAGTAATGGGTAAGGTGTGTGTGTGTGTGGGGTGGGGGGGGGGGGGGGTCTATCTTTTAGGTTACATCGTGAACATGAGCCGGATCTACAAAATGGGCAATCTGGGCACTTGCCCATGGGCCCTTGGGCAGAGAGGGGCCCTCTGCTGGCCAGCAGCGAGTAGTGCCAGACTGACAGAATATTTTTTTTGTTTCATAAAAGTAGTCAACACTCAGTGGCGCCTGCAGCTGTAACCTTTATTATGACCAAAGAAAATGTGTGTGTCAAAATGTCCTGTACTTAAATCTAAATTATTAGTGACATCTGTTGGGGTGAGCGCATGCATCCTTAATTAAAATTTAATTAGTTTACCTTTATTTATTTGGTGGCTGGTCTGGCTTTTTCCATAATATGACTGTGTGTTGAAGCTAACTAAAAATGAGTTGACTTTTAAACAGTTTGAACTTGTGGAAACATTTTACCATAAAAGGAAAAAAAGCCGATACTTTCGCTTCAGCCCTGCACAGACCTGCACCAGAGCCTGAGATTTTATGTCTCTTTTCAGTGATCACCAGAGGTGGGCAGCACTAATCTAAAAATTAGTTGCACTAACTTTAATATTTAGGTTCCCTAATTCTAAAGCACTAACGCACTTAAAAAATGAGCAAAAGCTAATTCTAAAGCACTAAAATCCCAGCTGACCCATGGAACATTCCTCAGAGTCAACATGAGAATATTTATATTGATAATATTTCATCTGGTGTAGCGGTTCCTAAAGTTGGTGTCGAAACCTCTTTGTGGGTCACAAAACATCAGGTGAGGGTCCCCAGATGACTTGTAGACAACAATTTAAATGCAAAAAAAATGCTAATGGAATATTTTCATCATGATTATTGCAATTTTTTAAAATAATCATAAAAGAATAAAAATGAGTGTCATCTAGGTTATTCCCATGTTTAACATAGTTATTAGTAAAGTTTGCATAAACAAGTAACATATGGGGTCACGAGTGTCTGCAACTGTTATTTTGTGGGTRAGAAGCAAAAAAAGTTTGAAAACCACTGTAAGTGACACATTTATGAACAACACATCTGACAGCTTTCACCCTCAGCTGTTGACAATAATGTTGATCAATAACTTTTAAAGAATTAAATTAGTGCTTACAAATTTAGCCCATAAATTTAGCAAGCGCTGATCCACTAATAAATTAAGAAATCAGCAAAAGCCCTATGCACTTATCAGGAAATTAGTTCTCCTATTAGTGCTTTAGTTCTTCACGGTGAACTGTGCCCACCACTGGTGATCACCTACTTCCCAGTTTTTTTGTTTGGCTGCCTTTTAGTTTCTTTAACATAATCTTCATTAGGCTACATTCTGTATAAATAAAATCAGTTTTCTTGCCCTGGTTGTATTTTTTTAAACCAGTATTGGAAGCACACCACTGTGAAGCGCGCTGCATTGTGCGAGTTGGGCTTTATGTGCTGTCACTAAATGAGCTGGACAACTTCACACACAGCACAAGCCAAATACTGCAGTTTAACTCAGCCTCACACCCTAATGATGCAAGACAGGCTGCAAGTTATGCAAACAGCATATCAAACTAGATACCACATAGTAGTAACATAATGACCCCCGCACGCAGAAARGCACCAGAACTCAGAAGTCTTTATTCCTAATAAARGTCATGTTACTAGGTGCATCCCAAAATCATAATGGTTTGGGTGGGGGTCTTTTTTTGTGTGTGTGTGTGTGTGGTTAGGTGGTGGGGGTGGACTTGATGGATAGCCCCTCATCAGAACTAAACACCAAAAGAAATCTGAAGCTCCTACTGTATGTTGAACAGTTTCTGAGTTATAAGCATTTTTCCATGTCCAGACACCCCTTTTTCAGATAAATTGGGGGCACTGATTGGTGGGCCTAATGGATAGAGCTTCATCAGAGCTAAACAACAAAAGAAATCTGAAGCTCCTATGTTGAACAGTTTCTGGGTTATAAGCATTTTTGCATGTCCAGACACCCCCACTTTGAAAGGAGCCCCCTCCTCAAATATGGGGTCTATCGTAAAACCGTTGGGATGGTGCAGTGTAAGTCAGACTCATCTACAGTCCTGCCAAATTTCATGTTGACCGGTGCAGCTGTTTTTGTGCTACGGTTGACCAAAAATCACTGAAAAAAAAACTGTACGAAAACATTATGACTCCCGTTTACGGTTCACATGCGGGAGTCATAATAAGCAAAAAGCATTAATGATACCAGAAGGTTTGTTGTCTTTTTCCTTGCAAAGTTGCAAATAAAGTACTCAAAGTCTTATTGGCAAAACTTGTTTTTATTGCAGTCGCTTCTTTTCTCTTTCTTTTCCTCCTTTCTTTAAGCAGCCTCACTTCCGAGCTGTCAGTTGCCACTGTCCATTTTCTAAAACCAAACTTTCCCAGTTTTGCTCACATAGAACTTTTGGAAACATATGCCCACCCAGTTATCATAATCTACACAGTGCATTGCTGCCTGCTCCCAGTCATGCCTGTCATGTTAACAAACTGACTTTCTTTCTTCAGTCAGTCACATTTGAGCTGTGCTGCTTGGTGATTTTCAGTCAACACTATATTGACATAAACTGGCTGGCTTCATACTCTGGCTTGGGATTATTTAATTTTTGTATTATTGTTATGTGATGATTTATGAGTGAGAAGCTGCCATACTGGATCCAAACAAAAGGGTGTCCTGTGACTTATGACTCACCATGTATGTACATTTAAGTTTGTGACTTATTTAAAAAAGAAAATCCTACAAAGGTCTTGAAACCAACAAAAGTAATAAAAAAATCAATGAATGAAAATCAAACATTGCTTTTAAGTTTTGGTTTAAATGTATTATTATTTAAAAAACTTTTGTTGAAACTGGTCTTGATAAAAAGAACGGTACCCCTAAAGATAAATAATAAAAAATGTGACCAGGAAAAATGTCTAAGGAGCTTATGAATAAATAATAATAATAACTAGCAGCGTGTTAAAAGTAAAAACTTATCTCCTACCAGCTTGATGGTCCTGTGACTACAGCTTCATTAAAACACCCACAAAGTGCCTCAGACCTGTAAATCTCAAGACTATCAAGGCATTCTGGGGTGAAATGTGCTGCCCATGTGTGGACTTCCTCAAAGGAATGGCTAACACATGAATGTCTAAAATAAAACATCGCACTATTCTGAGGTGGCCCTCTGAACCCTGATCTAAACTGAACGTCTGTGGAAAGAGCTGAAACGTGTCGGTACTACTTCTAAATCTAAGACCCTGAGACAGCTGGAGCAGCTTACTCACAAGGAATGGGACTGAAATACACGTGGACAGGTGCAAAAGTCCCAGAGTTACAGAAAGTCTCTTGGTTGCAGTGATTCCTTTAAAAGTCTTAATGTTTTTATTTTGCCAATACCAATTTTATTAGGTTATTTATCAATATTCAAAAGCAATGACTTGTTTTCATTAGTAGATTTTTTTTAGTTTTCATTAACTGATAATTAAAGCAATTTCTGCAGCTCTTTTTCTTTAATTAAAATGTACAAACAAATGTGGCCTACCTGTGTCAGTGTATGTTTAACAAAGAGGTTGTACCTGTCGAGATCACGCAGGTGTATTATGTAACTATTGTGTACCTCACAGGATGGATCTAGCCAGCAGAGGGCGCGAGCGTACCTKGTTTGATCCGCCGACCATCAGTCACGTGACCTGCGGCTCTCTGTGCACCTGCACAGCCTCTGAGGAGGAGGCGGAGTGGAGTTTGGATGCCTCGGTGGATCAGAGTAGCTACAGCTCGCTTTTTTTTGCTCGAAATCAGCACAACTTCTTCGACTGAAGTTTCTCGAAAGAACTGCTGGAATAGCTTGAACTAAAATGGAGCTTTCGCCGTCCCGAGTCTTCTTTACGGTGTTGAGTCTTTTTACAGGTAAGTTTCCCAACAAAACACGACGCGGAGCTACTTTGTTAATTTTTTATCAGACAGAAGGCAGTCCCACGGAGCGGTCAGCCGTGGACAATAGCCACTGGCGTTGACGAGTTGTCTTGGCTTTATCGTCGGGTAAAAAAAAAAGTTATTAGTTTTATTACTCAGAGTTCATGGTTTATATCTTATTTCGAGCCACAGTTTAGTTGGCTCGCCACAAGTTTCTTTGGATCTATTTCCTCGCAAAGCCAAATATATTAGTTTCTAAGTGATGTAAGTTGTTTAACGCCAGATAATGTATTTGTAATATATAACTAAAATAATGTTCTGGTGATTTGATTTGCTCTTCTAATAAGGCTTTTCCCTAGACCAGTTGTTAAAATGTGATTTGCCCACAGGGGAGGAAAAAAAACAACATCACTGAAGCCTCATTTCTGGTGCTTTATCTCTTGGTGGGTAATAAAATAGCCTGATCCACTTTAAAAGCTGTGACTGCTGGACTTTATTTTTGTGTGTATGTCAGCCATCTGGCAGCAGTTTAAACCCCTCCACTTCTTCCTCCTCTTCAGTCTGAAAATCAGCTTTAACATGAGCTTAAATACACCTCTGCTCACACTGACAGGTTTTATTCTGCTGTTTACATATATATATAAATCATTTACTGTAAGTTTAAAGTGATTCTGGTTGTTGATGTTAGGAACAGTGTATTCTGGAAATTATAAGTAGATGAGTTATTTACAAACACATTTTTGCTTGAAACCATTTGCTATAAGTTGTTTAGCTTTGAAATTCATCCATTAAGTAAAATGTTATAACTTTTATGTACTTATTTAATCTGTGCATGCATTTTCAATAAAAAACCTAATGATTGTACGAACTCATTTATGATGTAGGTAGGTAGGTAAACATGAAGTGAGACCTGAGAGTATCAGAGTTTATTGATCGTATTTGTCTTTTGGTTGTAATTGGACCAAGTTCATGTGTCATAGAAAGGTGTGTTTGTTGTCTGCAGGAATTTACACTGAAACTAGTACAAGATCACTCCTCCCACTGTGAATAATAGTCGGGAACTTCAGCTTCACAATTTGGCTTTTTGTAGTGGCAATTATTAAAATATTTTCTCACAAATAGTTTTAAAAAAGCCACAGAGGTCAAAGCACTGAAATCCAAGTCTTCTGATTTTGAAATGATGGACTAAAGAAAGACATTGTGAAGAATCTTTGAGATTATATCTCATGTAAAGATTCAGGTTATCCATTGTAATATTAGGCTTACATATTGTGTAGCTGAGGCCTCTTTTGTCCCATTCACATTGTTGTGTTCACTAGTTTTGGCTCATTACCATCTTAATGGCACCACTGTCTCGTTATTTGAGGGCTGTTCCACTTKGGCAGACAAAAACAGTAACTGTCAGACCCCTAGCATTCTTTTAACTTTGCTTTAAAAACACAATAACACACAAAGCTCTCTGTAATGGAAAAACAACAAGTGGGTTATTTCGGCTTTTTTCTTTGTCATGTTTATCTTGTTTCTAAGAGGCAGTGGATGGACATTAAATGTTGATAGAAGAAAAACATTTCTGATGGGATGAGTGAGGCTGGGCAGTATGAAAAATATCACATTTTTAGTCAGTGTGCTTTATTTATTTTGGTTGTTTACATTTTTATTTGTCAACAGGAATACCCAACAATAGAATTCTTAAGCTTTTTATAAAGCACGTGTGTCGTATATAAAATAAAATACGTGAACATAGTGATGGCACAAATGAATATATTAAACAAACAATAAAACATATGTGAAGTATTTGAATTTATTTCTAATTTAAAGAATCACCAGTTAAGAAATATTGGAGAACACAATGGGCCTCATGCAAGAACATGTTCGTATTCTTATCCTAAATTTCTCTTACTTTTGTTCGTACGAAGGGTTATACGAACATGTCACGTCAGATTCAACAAACTCTTCTATRTTCAGGAAAAGTGTGTAAATGAGCTGCGTAAATTACACCTGTTCTATCCAGCTTTTCGTGCACGCGAGAGGAGATTAGCATAATTACTGCCCCAAAAACACCATATAAGGCTGTGTTTCCTGCCTCAGATACAAGGAAGTGTCCATTCATGAAAATGACAGCGAAAAGTAAAAAGAAAAACTTTACGAGTTCAGAGATTGAATTCCGTCTGTCAGAGATCCAGAAAAGAAAATCTGTCATTTTTAGCAGGTCAGCTGTGGAATTAAAGAA